TGAGCCGAAGGCAGTCGCTTAACCAACTGAGCCACCCAGGCGCCCTTTCAACCTCTTCTTAAAACAACTTTGGTAATTTCTATATTCATAGAATATACTCAAAGAATATTTTTATATTCAATGATACATATTTTCAAATTTATTAATATTTTATGTAATAATACTGTCCTATTTTTTCATCTTCTCGGGGTTTGTGGGAAAAAAATCCTTTCAGGATTTATTTCTTACTCCTAATGTTTTTCTGTTGGTATTTTCTTTTTATTTTTATCTTGGTCAGATTTCTCTATTTGCTGTTTTTTCCCCAAATAACCAGATCTTGATTTTATTTATGTATCAGCTTTTCTTTCATTTTCTCCATTAACTTCTGCTTTCCCCCAATTTATAACACCTTCATAATGTATAATCTGTCACTCCAGTTACATTAATGTAAATTTTACCAGTCTTAAGGATGCATGAAGAACTATTTTTAAGGGCACCTGGGTGACTCAGTTGGTTAAACCACTGCCTTCGGCTCAGGTCATGATCCTGGAGTCCCGGGATCGAGTCCCTCATCGGGCTCCCTGCTCAGCGGGGAGTCTGCTTCTCCTTCTGACCCTCCCCCCTCTCATGCTCTCATTCTCTCTCTCAAATAAATAAATCAATAAAATCTTTTTTTTAAAAAAAAAAAACTAATTTTAAGAAGGCACAGAAAGATGTATTGGTCAATACTAGAAGTCTTATAGATATTCAGATATCTATATAGCTAAGTTTAATCTTTGTTTACATCTGGTTTTAAATTTTCTAGGCCATACGAGAATTATTATAGTCATGATTTTCTAGAGTTGTAGACCTCAGGGCTTCGGGTGTCCTTTTATCTGTAAGTTAAGTGTGGATCTAAAATTATTTTGAAAGAGAATTCTGGTCCTATGAGCTGCTGCTACCTTAGCCCACCTCTGCAGAGCTGGGATGGTGCTTTACGGAAGCACTGGTGATCACTAGGCTCCCCAGTTTCACAGGTGCAGATGAAATTTTGTCTTTGTTCAGAAGGGGAATATGAAGTTGGTTCCTCAATCTCTCTGGATTTGTTTGCCCATCTGCAGAATGGGTATAATGATAAGCCATTCACAATAATCTTTTGAAGACCTTGAAGATGAGAAAAATAAATCTCGAAAATATTTACTAATTTGCCTAATGCCACACAGTTAATACAAAGTTTGAAGGAGCTATATCTGGGGTCAAGAACGTTGCTTTGATCTGCAAAGTCTCCACCTATGCAATGTTTCCTCAGTTTGACTCTCATCACACATTTTAAAATTTTCAACACAGGAATACAGCTTATTATCAATTTGCATTTAAGATATCATATATAGCATCTTAAATGTAAAGAAATATGCTGGAGCACCTGGGTGGCTCAGCCACTAAGTGTCTGCCTTCAGCTCAGGTCATGATCCCGGGGTCCTGGGATCGAGCCCCATGTCAGACACCCTGCTCCACAGGAAGCCTGCTTCTCCCTCTCCCACTCCCCCTGCTTGTGTTCCCTCTCTCACTGAAATAAATAAATAAAATATTTAAAAATAAATAAATAAATATGTTTTGTCTAAATATCAAGTAGAAGCCAAATGTAATGGAGAGCTGCTAAGATTTTAAAACTGTACATGCATTCCCCAGTTAGGAGTTCATTAATGATCTTAGCAAGAGTAGATTCGGTGCTGTACTGAGGACAGAGGACAATGAAAAGATTGCAACTGTCATAAATGCTTTGATGTAATAAGTGCTCTTACATTATATGGCATCATAGTATGCCATGCATTACTCAGAGTGCAAGCTAAACCCTTCCGAAGGCTTCCAAGATCCTCCAAGACTGTGTGGTCTGTAGCCTCCCACCTCTCAACTCCCACTCCTCTGTTCTATCATTCTCTCTGCCTCTGCTCCAGCCAGCCTGCTCCCCTTGCTCTCCCTTTGTCACAGACACATTTTACCCTTAAGACTAATGTGCCGGGGGCGCCTGGGTGGCTCAGTCGTTAAGCATCTGCCTTCGGCTCGGGTCATGATCCCAGGGTCCTGGGATCGAGCCCCGCATCAGGCTCCCTGCTCCACGGGAAGTCTGCTTCTCCCTCTTCCACTCCCCCTGCTTGTGTTCCCTCTCTCGCTGTGTCTCTCTCTGTCAAATAAATAAAATCTTTAAAAAAAAAAAAAGGGGGCGCCTGGGTGGCTCAGTTGGTTGGGCAACTGCCTTCGGCTCAGGTCATGATCCTGGAGTCCCGGGATCGAGTCCCGCATCAGGCTCCCTGCTCGGCAGGGAGTCTGCTTCTCCCTCTGACCCTCTTCCCTCTCGTGCTCTCTGGCTCTCATTCTCTCTCTCAAATAAATAAATAAAATCTTTAAAAAAAAAAAAAAAAAAGACTAATGTGCTGGCTCCTCGGGCTGGGAGGATCCTCCCCAGATACCCACCCACGACTCCCTTACCTTGGTGGTGAGGCCTACCCTGACTGCCCTTGGTCAAATTACTACCTTTCTGCACCCCCAGTCTCCCAGACCTGGCTTGATCTCCAAAGCACTTGCTTTCAGACATACTACATGTCCTTTTTCATAGCATCTGTTCTCTAGTGAAGGTCTCCTCCACTCCCCACCACTAGAATTTAAGCTCCCTGAGGGCAGGGGTTTGGGTTTTGACATCCATGTGTCCCACCCACCTGGAACATACCTGATACAGCATAGGTTCTCAAAAATATTTGGTGAAAGAATGAATGAATGAATTAACAAATGAAAAAAGCATACTAATTACACATTTACACCCAATAGTCACCCTTAGAATTCACATCTGGGCTCTGCTGCTCACTAGCTGTGTAACCTTTTTTAACCTTTGTTTCCTCATCTGTTGATGAAAAAAAAAGATATTGCCTCACAGGATTATTGTTTAGATTATATAAGGCAATTAACATACAGTGCTTAGCACAATGCCCGGAGCATACACAGTATTTGCTCAGGAAATGTTAGATGTTATATATCATTTATAATTAATATAATCATTGTTTTATTTAATTTCCACACTAATCCTAAAAGGCTGTTATTATCCCTATTTTACTTTTTATTTTTTTTAAGATTTATTTATTTGAGAGAGAGCGCGTGAATGAAGGGGGGTGGGATGAGGGGCAGAGGGAGACGGAGAGGGAGAAGGAGAGAAGCAAACTCCCCACTGAGTGCAGAGCCTGATGTGGGGGATCAGTCTCATGACCCTGAGATCATGACCTGAGCCGAAATCAAGAGTTGGACGTTTAACCAACTGAGCCACCCAGGTGCCCCTTATCCCTATTTTAAAGATAAGGAGGGGCCCTTGGCTGACTCAGTTGGTAGAGCAAGCGACTCTTGACCTCAGGGTTGTGAGTTTGAGCCCCATGTTGGGGAAAGATTACTTAAAAATAAAAAAAAATTTTAAAAACAAAGATAAGGAAAGTGAACAAAAAGAGGTTAAATAACTTCTTCACCACAGAGAGGCTAAGTCTCCCAGCTGGTCTACCGAACACCTCTTTTCATGCCACCTCGGTTCACCTGGTTCCTGTCTGACCCTGGAGTCCTTGGCCACCAAACTCACTGGCTCCTCCCATAACTTCCAGACTCATCTGAATCATCAGACAGCAGAGCTTCTCCAGTGGCTGCCCAAGGGGTGCAGAAGTTAACTCCCCATGGGCAGCAGATTAAGTCCCTCTCCATTTCGCCTTCTGAAATATTTTCTAAAACATATTATTGCTATAAAGTCTTTCTAGAAAACTGCCTGTGGCTGAGCCTGTGTGCCTTCATAAAGCAGGGATTGCGAGACACACTACCTTTTATTTTCTCTTTTATTTTCTTTCTCCCTTTCTTTTTTGAGGGGGGAAGGGCAGAGGGAGAAAGGAGAGAGAATCTTAAGCTGACTCCCTGTTGAGGGCCGAGCCCCACCCTGAGATCATGACCTGAGCCAAAATCAAGAGTCAGAGTCCGACACAACTGACTGAGCCATCCAGGCGCTGCCTGCCCTTCCCTCTCTTCCTTCCTTCCTTCCTTCCCTCTCTCCCTCCTTCTTTCTTCTTCTTCTTCTTTTTTTTAAGATTTTATTTATGTATTTGACAGAGAGAGACACAGTGAGAGAGGGAACACAAGCAGGGGGAGTGTGAGAGGGAGAAGCAGGCCAATGTGGGGCCCCATCCCAGGACCCTAGGATCATGACCTGAGCTAAAGGCAGACGCTTAATGACTGAGCCACCCAGGCACCCTTCTTTCTTTTCTTTTTTCTTTTCTTTTTTCTTTCTTTCTTTCTTTCTTTCTTTCTTTCTTTCTTTCTTTCTTTCTTTCTTTCTTTCTTTCTTTCTTTCTCTTTCTTTCTTTCTTTCTTTCTCTTTCTTTCTTT